CAGCTCGCTTCCCAATGTTTGAATACAGTGTAATTAAGTATACTATTTAAATGCAATAAATAATTCAGTGAAATGCAACGAAATCCCTTTTTTTATCGCTTCTGAAATAAATATTTGAAATGAAAACCTAATACCGGAGATTGCGGTGCGAGATGAAACGCTGCAAACACTTTTAGATCATTCTCTTTCGCAGATTTGATCACAAGTTTCCTCACTCAACATTTGTAGGCGAAAACTATTGGATACACCTTTCAACAAGAAGTCTTTTAACTATTTCTCATATATTTACTCGTCCTTGCTAGATCTTGATTTTATTAATTTAGTTATTTATGAAGATAAATAGTGCCTTTAAATGTATAGTTTTGAAAGTAATTGATGAGGTTATTGTTCTGTTTATCATGCAATAAGGAGATAAGCACAATTCCTTAGAGAAGTGATATCTTAATGGCTTATGGTCAACATTTCTGTCACAGGAGATATTGGCAATAATCTGACTTCTTCACCTTCTTGACATTTGGCTCACCTCTGGAGATGCCGACAATAAACTATTTTAGTTTGGTTTCATGCAAAAAAACAATAGAAAAACGAAAAGCATTATAAAAATATATATTTGGGTTAAGTTACTCTGTATGAACAATTATATATATATATATATATATATATATATATATATTAGAGTATTTCTGAACTCAAAATTTGTAGAATATAATTACGAATAAAAATGTATATAGTATAATTTGTAGAATATTATTTGTACTAAGTAATACCGGATAAACCTTTTTATTTCGGAATTAATTGGAATTTCCTTGGAGATTCCCATGATATTCTTATCAGTATCTAAACCTGTAAACTCAATATCAACTGAAACATTATGCTGTATATTATCCAAACTTATTTATGTTATTTACTTATTTATAATTCACTTAAATTTCAGCTATATACTCAATAATCAATGTGCAGAAACATTCAATTAATAACTACACAATATGAAACGTGTATCTTAGCAGACATAATAATCCATGCATATAGAATCACTTCACATTGTACCCAATGTAATCCGTACAGATTTGTATTTAAACAAAGATAGCATTAACGATAGTTCCTAATAACGAATGCAAAGGATTGCTTTGAATAAAGTATGCATACTTGGTTAGGTTTATTTACGGAATATGTTCTCGAGTCGTCATAATTTTAAAGCTCTACTGTTAAAACAAATGGGCTATAACGGATTATAAGCTTTCATATAACTGAGAACTTGAAATAAATTTTTATGTATACATGGTTATCTGAATAATTGGTGTAATTATTATAACATAACCTATGCACTTGTTTGATAGTAATTTTAGTTTTATGTCGAACATTTTACAGTTACTAGTTAAGATCGGGGATTACTCTTACACGCGAACGTACTGTGTACTTTATCATATTAGCTACAAACTTTGGTTGAAAAGTAAGCTACAGTTACAGGATAATCCTTCAGTCACAACAATATTTGTAAGTACACGAATCACAGCAAATTTAATTAATGGAACAAGCTGGAATACATCAGTCCACTGGTTTGAATCACTACCCATTGTGTAGCTCGACAATTCACTAGTGACTGTTGGTTGAATGGTTGATTTAATCCAGCAGAACACTTTCTACTGTCAAATAAAAACTGAGTGATACTCGATTAATCAGCACATTTAAAAACTATAGGATTTATTAGAGGTAGTTTTAGAATGACAATAAGAGATTAATAATTATACATTTTTGTCACCATGACTGATGTACGAATAATGTGATAGTGTACGTACATTTTTATACCGGTTTTCAGTCATGTAATTAAAATACTTCAATTAAAAGACTGAAGACGGGCTAAAAGGTACGTAACGATCAATAATTTATATCAATGACCCTTGTCACAAGGCGTTTGTACAAGGATTCACTCGGAGTGTGAGTCGCCGGTTAGTATCGACTTGTTAGGATATGTAATGTTATAAAAGCAGTTTAATGCGGTGCTTACTCTCTCTTCGTACTTGCTATAAACAGAGGGGGATCTACCTTAAATAAATTTATTTTAATATCTTTAATATACGGGGTGTCCCACGAAGGGGTTTAAACGTTTGATTTTATATTACGTGCCCATTCATGCATTGAACTTTTTTAAACTTTACACAGTTTAAGAAGTAGGATGTAAAAATATTCTGGAAAAATTTCAACTCCCAAACCTTAGTAGAAACAAAATGGCGGCATATTGAAAAACGATGCTTTAAAAAGATTAAAGAAGGTATTTTTGGTTTTATCAAATATTTTTATTGTTACTTTACAGGGCAATATGACTTAAATAAAAAAAAAACTAGAACATAGCCTTAATGGAAAACCTTGATGTCCAAAATTATTTAAACTGTAACCCATCCACAGCTGTAATTTTCGTACTCACTGAACTATTTATAAATCAATATGCATATATTACAACAGCAACACATTGATAACAGCGCGTAACAAATTATTCTTAAGCTCTTACAAAGAAACTCCGCGGTATCCGGAGAAGTTCCTCTTCTATTGATCGTTTTAGTTTCTCATCAGTATTGAAGCTATGGGTATAAACTTGCTCCTTCAAGAAACCCCATAAAAAGATGTCGCAAACAGTTAAATCAGGTGATCGGGGTGGCCAATCTAAAAAATCATTTCCACGACCAATCCAACGGCCACGAAGGTTGCCATTTAGTAATCTTGTTGAAAGATTGGTTGATTCATTTCTGGTACCGTCAAATGAGGCAAGACCTGTCCATTTAAAACTCATTTTACAATAAAACAGCTGTTCTTCAACAATGAGCGTTAGAACCGCAACGTAGTAAACAAATCAGATAATTAATCATGAAAGTAGTTTTTATAGGAAGCAAATTGGTAAATTTTTCAATATGCCGCCATTTTATTTCTACTAAGGTTAGGGAGTTGACATTTTTCCAGAATATTTTTAGAACCTACTTTGTAAACTGTGTAAAGTTTAAAAAGTTCGGTGCACGAATGGGCACGTCATATAAAATCAAACGTTTAAACCCCTTCGTGGGACACCCTTTAGTTTTTAACATTTGTACATTCACAATGTACACCATGGTTTGGAATTAAAAAAAAACATGTGCTTTCTTGGAAATTGGTTTGGGTAATTTTAATGGTACGAATTAAGTTTTAGTTTTTCAAAGAAAAATGTCCATTAAGCAATGAACATACAATATAAATAATGGCCAACAAGCACGATTATTTTGTGGTAGCTATGATGCACAAACCGCACAACAACCTGCTGATTCACTACTTGTTTGTCAGTGGCTGGTACAGACCATTAGCCTAATGGAAACTTACGTACACCAACTGAGCCCCATATTCCGATAGTGGTGCCCACTGGAGAATAAAAAGTACAAAACACGGTTAGTTGTAGTAAAATACCATTTGAAACCATAATACACTAAGTTAAACATAGGTATAAGCCTTCATGCGTATATTTGACTAAATAACTTGGACTCAAATTAAGCTTTCACTTTGGATGTTAAGATTTGGGTGTAATTGCACTGTACTATAAACTATAATTCGTATATTCAGGAGAAGCTTCTCGATATACGATTATACTATTGATGTCAATTGGATCAAGTCGTAATAAAATTTAAAAGTTACGTATAATTTATTTATTTTGAACAATCTCTTAAAATCCTTTGAATGGATTTATTTATAGACAGTTTATTTATAGACCACACGATTATAAAATTTCAGTTGGAATCAAATGGTAGGCCTATATTATTGAATAGGTTTTGAATAAAAATCATTAACTGATTCTTAAAGTACCCAGAAGCATTTACATAGAATTAGAATTAGAATTTTACATAAATTGTTGACATAAAAAAAAAACTTATAACACCACTTCAAAATGTGTGTATTCTATTTGCAGAAGATCTTGATTATCATGATTATGCTATGAAGTCTTGATGATTGATACACGTGTAGTATTGAAGCATTAATTGATGTTGGTTACTCTACAGTATAATGCATCCTGAAGTTGTTGATAGCTCAATTATAAACACGTAAGTTCTAAAGCTACAAGTCGTTGTTCTTTTACAAAACATGGCAAGTAGCCGTATGTTACCTAAGGTAGAAATTTGTATCATAAGTCAAGTAATGTGTCTTAAGTATGGTATACTCCTCTTTTAATAAAAACTCCTTTCTTAAGAATTATTAACAAACAACAGAGCATTGTATGTATGTTGTATGTGGTACTTATAGAATTAGTTGTTATCCTAAGATTGTCCCTTCTGGGAACATACAAACGATTACTTCTCAAACAATGGTTGTTGTAGAACATAATATGACATATGTATGCTACCTGGAGCAGCAGTTAATAACAGAAGATCTTGCTTACAATCCTGTTAATTAATGCACGTGTACTGTGTAGTGTTTGAGCGGTGATTGCTGCTGCTGGCTCCGACCAATAAACTTAATGATACTCGCTCAAGACGCTTTAGTCTACGAGTTTTATGTAGTTCAATTCTTTTTTCCTTTATAAAATTTTTCGTACAGTAAAATTAAAGAATAAATCAATAAAAAATAAGGAACATTTTAGCCATCCAAGATTTGAAAACTTGATTAAATGTTATAAGTAGGTACCTTTTTGCCTTTACCTTTTTGCCTTTACCTTTTTATTGTCTTTGCTATTGAGAAGTATTTTATTGTGTTGCATGAGTGGGTAAACCCCCAAGTAAACACTCAGGATCCCGTCACTTCAACCAAAGTTTATCGTCCATGCCGTGGGGTACGCTTTGCCACTAACTAGGTAAGCCTGATCAGGTCCAGGGGATTCTTACCTAGTAATTCATTACCTGTTTCATTACCTAAATGCTAAAAAAAAAAAACAGGAACCTTCTTCTAGCCCTAAGTATGTCGAAATCCAGATTGATGTTCTTTACAGTCATGTCGGACAGGCTGTGCAAAGTAAAAGTAAGGCTAGCATCCAATATACTATAGGAAGTCACCTGATATCCTAGAGGCTCCGTACGCACCCACCACCGCTAGGTAGTCCGGTGATTCAGCTCTTCGGCACACGTCCCTTGACACCACTGAGTCGGATGCAAACAAAGTCAGAGGAAGAGAGAAGGGAAGAAGAGACACGAGAAAAAGAAGTGCGCTTGTCATAGAACTCAAAACGAAGAATAGAAGGGATCTGAGGGTTAGCTAGAGTTTCTTGGGATCACCAGCCCACAAGAGGCCTTCGGCATGGTCGTTGGGTTGTGACTTTCCTCTGAGCTCTGGTGTAGTAGTTTTTATACTACCCTGTGCACACTTGGCCAGCTTGTGTAGGGTCTTTAGAACGCTATCTTAAGTTGTTTTACTTACACTGTGGCGTTAGTGATAGTGTTACAGCACATGAAGACTCCCTTTAGATGACATACAGGCTGGTGGATTACGCATAGGATAATATACAATCTACTACTCAAGAAAAGAAGGTAATAACTACTACAAAACAATTTGTTGTCATAAGTAATGTACTTACTATAATTATAGAAAAAAATCTAGGTAATGAGTGAATATACAGAATAGTTTCAGTAAAGTATTATTTACAACAAAGCAGGACGTACCATCAACGTCAGTGAGCATCAATATTTTTTATCAACGGCGTTTCGAGCAGTATTATGAAACGCTTAGTTACTCCGAGACGATTCTCAATCGCCATCTTCTATTTTGAGTGTTTCTCAATATTTCAGTTTATTAGATACGTAGTAACTTACGGTGATTGAACCATGGGCTGGTTCAAAGTAATTTAAAAAATCGTTTAGTAAATTTATGAGACATATTATTAAGGGGTAATGTTCTGTATTGTGTTGCGTTCTACGTTAGCCTTATTAATGATACAATGTTTTATCTAAGCTCTTTTAAAGTAATCATAGCTTTGTAAAGCTAGAAATATCAAATGTGTTGCAAATGACCATTTCCTGAAGAGGTGAAGAAGATGATAATGAATGTGTCGTAAGAGTAACCATGATACTTTATAGTTTAGTTGTTTTATGCGGTTCGATATCATTATTGAATATCTCTATTAAAAATCTAAATTCCACAAACATGAGAAAAAAAACACATTTAGGGACAATAAATTAGTACCCACATTCCAAATGTCGTCCATAAGACAGAGGTGTAGTATGTAGCTTTGTAAACATCCACACACATCTAACTTTGGAAAATAACTTTTTTGGGTTAAGGGGAATCCAAACTATATTTCCACCCAAAAATAATTCCACCCATAACTCAAAATGTTTACAAAAACAATACTTTCTTATCCATACCATGTTTCGTGGAGAATGTAGAATTCTCCTCAGGTAAAAATAAAAAATTGGTATAAAATTGTATATTTTAGAAACCAAGAATGCATAGAACTGATATATCGAGTTTGGTTAGCTTACACAGAGGCAGTTTGCTGTAGAGAGGTATATAAACAGGACATTCCTTCAAGTGGCTGATTGTGAGACATATATTTTTGAATAATATTGAATTATTTTCAATTTTGAAACTAAGTCCTGTTCATAGCAATTAATTTTTAATAATATTCCATGTTTAAGAGTTTTCTACAATTATAGATTATTGTTAAAATTTTTGTCACATAACGCTACGAAACACAACTTTACGGATCAGGAAACCAAATTACTGTGGAGAGATAAAACAATGAAGAATGTTCAAATCAAATACAAGAAACAGTATTGGTATTCAAATATATTTAGACTGTATATTAAGGATTCAGAATGACCTAGTGTTATTGCAAGATGACTTGTATTAGCAACACATGATAAATAAAACTACTATTAATATTTCCGAGGATTTCACTCCAAATAACTTGTATAAGCTAAAGGCTATTGAATTCGACATGAAAGCCGAAACAGAGTTTACACCAAGATCTCTCCGTGTGTCGACCTCTTTGAGCGCTCTGTATTGGATTTAATTAAAAATCAAAACGTTGGTGGAAAATATTTAACTTTTTTCATTCATCCGAAAAAAGAGTGTTCGTTTTTAAGGTTTTTTAAGGTTGGACCATAATTATGAAAATTTACTACTGTTGGGGTTTTTACCTTATTTTTTTATCTTAGAATATGAAGTATAATTTAGTGGAGTGCAACATTATAAAGCATTAACTAAAACTGAACTATCCACTTTTCAATTTCTTTATTTTGTGGCTTTAAATCTCACGTTGATTTAATAGTGTTGTCTATCAGTCAAAGCTTACATACTTTATATGATAAACCTGTGCTCAGAAGGTGTTCAGATATATTTCTTAAAGAAAAGAAAATCTTGATCGGTCCCAATCGGTCAAGGCGATGGATTGATGGAGTGTGAAAGCCCAATATTATGGCTTCTTTGTCGTTTCAAAGAACCAGATAGCCTTTCTTTACCTTGACGACGACTTAATTTTTTCTATATTATTATACACCATATTGAGGATTTCGCCGTTTATTTGATTTGCAACACGGGTGTTGTTTTTATAAAACAGTCGCTACAGAGATTTGCTACAGGTTATTAACAATTGCTACAGGTTATTTGATAAGGTTTTTTAAAGCTACAGGTTTTAGAACAGGACTTGCACTTCATGTATTACATAATAATTGATGGATGAAACAACAAATATAACTCACAAAAACACTTACATAACACCAGTAGTGAAACCTAAGTTTTTATCAAGAGTCAAAAGGTGTTTTTTATGTAAAAGAAATTCATTTTAAAAACTATCCTCTCATGTTTTCTCCACTGAAGATTAGTGATAGTCCAGTAATTAACACACTTTCTATTTCAAATTATTATTATTGCTAAGTATTTTAGTATTGGTATATATTTTTTTAATAAATTTAACATTAATCTAGCCACCAAACAAACTTATGATGTAAAACTTAATCTATTTTCAAAATCAAGTTCTATGATCCGATTTTATATGGTTATACTAATGATTTTATCAGGTGAAAATAAACATTCACGGTTTTTAGCGATTCAAACAATAAAAATAAGAATAAAAGAAAGAATAGAAAATAGAAGTATGTGAGGTCAAGATGAAGTTATATTTAGACATTGAGATGTTAACCACTTACGCCAATCTGGGGAGGAGAAAGTTTCATTTGCCAAGCAACTTTTCTTTCGTTTAGACAGCTCATGTACCTTTTGTGATGGGATGTCTCAACGCAAAAAAAAAAAAACATTGGTTGGTAACTCTGTTATAAGCTAATATTTACCTTATCTATTATGATCAAGCCGGAAAATTAATTTGATGTTTTCTATGTTTATACTCCCTCGGCCTATTTCAAGGGTCATAGTAGATATAATATGATGGTTTAAAGTCACTTTAGGCACGTTTTTCCCATGCTATTCTTATGGGGATCATTTTTTAGCCACCAAATCCAAAAATCATGATCTTCGCCTGTACACCCTGTGCACAAATGTTCAATACCATTGTACAACTTCATTACTATCTCAAATCCACATGCATTCACATGTATATTCTCAAAATCATCAACTTGACAGTGCGAGGTTTGTACGCGAACTCGGGCGCGCTCCCGGCTCATGGCGTGCTCCTGACCCATGGTCAGGCTTCTTGCTCCCGACTCATGGTCGGGCTCCTGCTTCTTGCCTCTAGTGTTGGGGCTGTGAAATGGTATCTTTTGTGGAAATCCATGAATTCTGGCTACTTGGGAACCCAAGCCATTTGACATACAATAAATCACCCTTTTTCCTAATTACCTTTTCTATCAAATACATGTCTTTATACTTGGTCTTTAACAACTCCTCTGTGTAGAATCCTCCTCTGATTATATTGCCATTTTCATCTTTCAAGATATAAGTCACAGACTTTGTATTCTTAACTTCTGCTATTGTAAATAGCTCCCCTGTCCAATTCGGGGTATTAGTGTAGGCCAATATGTAATTTCGTGTTTTTTGTTTGTTAAAGTTAAAAACTTTATATATTTTGAAAGAAGATATAGTAATCTCCAAAAAAAATTAGGGTGTCATTTTTTCCAATCCAAGATGGCGTCCAAAATGGCCGCTGTTAGGTACCATTTTTAGGTTTTTCCTAAATATCTCGAAAACTATCTACATTTTGTATACTATACTAAATAAGGAAATTAAAGAAGATTAAATTTCCTACAAGAAAAGTATATGATGTAACTATTTCCGTTCAAACATTTACAAGATATAATAAATAACTTATTCAAATACTCCTTCCATAAGGAATACATGTAAATTTGTATGTATAATAAATGCTAAACATTACAAAACCTATCCACCTAAGGTCAATATAACAGATATTCTTGAAATATTGACAAATTTTCCAGCAATTTGACACTTAAATAATAAAAATTGGTCAAAAATTAAGGCGAGGGTGAGCACACAAAAAGTTGTAATTATTTAAGAAACTATTGCAAATAATGCGGTTTTTGTGAGACTGCCAACGCCTTAATTTTGGACTAATCTTTATGATTAAAGTGTTCAATTGCTGGAAATTTGATTAAGATTTAAAAATTATCAAATAAAAACCAAATTTTAAAAAATAAATAAAATAACGTATGGACCTGTGTAGGCTCATTTGTAATGAAATAAAAAATTCATGGATTTATTTAGTTAAAAGCAAAAGATTATTCTGTTAAAATATGATGTAAACATAAGGAAAAAATTAGGGCGGGATTTTTTTGATTTTTTGTGATTTTTTGTCGCACAAACAATCTCCCATGTACTGAAATCTGTGGTTGTTGGGCTTTTACTTGCAACAACAAAACAAGTCAACCAAGAATAAAAGAAGAGCGCGAAGACATTTGATGACCATTGCTACTCATATCACACAGTGTTTATTTGTATTTTAGCAGTCATACATCACTGAACACTAAGTAATAACGTGATTTAAATAGTTAAACCATATTTTAAAGATTGCACTGTATCATTTATACTAATTGGCTAATATAGTAATTTAACAATCGTTCATGTTTGTACATTTATTTCCAATTCCAGTATAATTTAAATTACATGTGTGCTACAGAAGAAATTAAATTATTGCTAAACGGCGGCCATTTTGGACGCCGTCTGGTATTCGAAAAATCACGCCCTAATTTTTTCCTTATGTTTACATCATATTTTACTAGAATAATCTTTAGCTTTAAACTAAATAAATC